TCAGGTAGCACTTGCCCCATTCGATGTAGCATGCGCGAGAAGACTGATTCCAGACTTCCGAAGAGGATTCCTTCAGGCAAGTCACGGATGCGTATATTAGACATTCCAGGAGTGAAATTGAGGGTTTCGTCTTCTCGCCCAACAATGCCTGTATTTACACATACATATATTGATTAAAGGAGCCTTCCAATATAGGTTTGTAACAATAAATGTACAAAAGCTACAAGTGAAATGGAGCTATTAGCTTTCAAGCCATTAAAATGACAAATCTATTTACTAATGGAATAGTTCTTTTTCTTTGTTCATGGACAATTGCAAGTCATTGTCCTTTTTCAGGTTTCAGGAAAATATACTTGCAATCATACAATAACAACAAAGACTATTTCCCATTACATGGAATTGGCTATAAAAAAAACTCATATTCCGCTATATATTATATCAACTAGTGTAAAGAATGTGCCATCAAACTTATGTCAGGAAAAGGACAAAAAGAAAGGGAAGGAAAGTTACCTCCAACTCCTAATTTTTCCCTCACAAGATCAGTGTAAACAGGAGAAGAGAGGGCGCAAGCCCCCGCAGTCCAAAAGGGTAGCCAAGGCAAACCATTCTCCTCTGCCATCTCTTTGGCAAACCAAAAGAATGCATCGGTAACCAAGCAGCTCACTTTGCTCCCCGTCTCTGCCCCGGCCACTTCCATTCCCTTCCTTAAGTTCTCCGGTGCCACTTGCATGAACAACTCAATATCCTCCTGAGGCTTCCCAACAAAAACATAACCATCCAGCACTCCATCTGGTACGTTATAGGCTTTAATGTTTGGTTTCGGTTGTTGAGACGTGGTGGAGAAGATAAGAGTTGTTGGATTGTGCAGTGCTGAAGAAGGAGAACAAAGTGGTTGGGGATGCCGCGGCTAGGCGGTTGATGATGGTGAGGAGTGGAGCAGCGTGGGTGGCTAAGGGGAAGGCAAGGACAGCAACACGGCTGTCAGAATTGGTGAGCCGAGGCATGGTACTAGAGCTTAGATTGCTGCTGGTACGGGGGAGATAGTTCGCTTGTGGGCTTGTGTCTTGCAAGAGTTTAAGCAGAACACGCCTCGATGAAACCTAACCTAACAATGTGGGGGTTGGGCAGTTGGCACGTGTTAATGGATATTGCGACAGAGTGAAGCATGGTAACCCCCGTTGAAAGGTTTCTAACTTCTGCTTTAAACAAAGAAGAACAATTTGTCCAACTTCAAGTTACTTTAAACAAAGTAAAAGTATATTATCTTCCCTTGAAACTATAATAAAGTTGAAACAAAGACAACGCCCTGTAGCCCAACACTGAAACACATAAAGATGGCATTCTACTTAAATCCAAAAAAAAAAAAAAATTCTGCACAACCTTTCGAGGTTAGTATTCCC